AAGGAAGGAAGGAAGGAAGGAAGGAAGGAAGGAAGGAAGGAAGGAAGAGATTCCTCCCTGAGTACTCACCAAATGATGAAGAGGGGAAGGGACCTTCATTAGGAATATAAGAATAACCATTTTGCTAGACTGTGTAAGCACAGGCTTTTATTCCCAGCACTTGGGAAGGCAGAAGCAGGTGGATCAGTGAGTTTGAGCCCAGCCTGGTCTATGGAGTGAGTTCCAGGACAACTAGCAATATACAGAGAAGCCCTTACTGAAACCCTGTCTGAATAAAACAGAAAGATGAAAAAAGCAAAACGACAAAAGAAAAAAGAAGGAAGAAGAGAAGGAGGAGAAGGAATGAGGAAGAGGAGGCAGGAAGAAGGAAGGAAGAAAAACGACCATTTTGTTAATAACGGGAATGCTTAATCAGCCTGCCTGTCACTTTGAGTTGGTGCCTACCTTGGAAGATCACAAACTGCCTCACTTTTACCATTGAGTCTCTGGTACTAGTTACTATCAAGTGGGCATCCCATTACCCCACAGTTTCATCTAACTTTCTAAACAAATACTTTCAATGATTGGCTTTAATAACTTATTAAAACTATAGTCAATCTGAAAGAGTAAACTCCCCCAGGTCACATACTAGCTCCCCACTATGTGTGCACATGTGCAGTAAGTCCAGATAAACCAGAATGGGACAGGGACTGACAAGAACTGAAAGACAGAAAGACAAACCCCTAGCCATTAGCTAATTTTAATGTTAAGTAGCCAACCTTAGCAGAGTATCACCCATTTAACTAATAAATAGTTTTGAGTTTTATGCAAAAATAAAAATGGAGATTGTGTTGTTTGTCTATAATAAAGAGGAAAGTCTTTCTGGAGATTCATAAAATGAAGGCTACTTTTATGGTCCTGTCTATACTTTGAGTGTCATTGTTTTCTGCTATCCATAAGTTCACCTACAGCCCTCTAGCTGGCAGCACAGCACTGTCTCCATATAAACGCAATGTAGTAGTAAATTTTTGAATAAAATTTCAGAGTTCTTATATATCTTAATACCTATTCATGCTTAACAAGCTCTGCTTCAGAGTATCTTGTACATTTTTGACAAACTACACCTTTTTTTTGAGTCTTAAAGGTACCAAGTAATGCCAAGGAATACAGAGAACAGGATTAATGCACTAATTCTTCCAGTCTAATCTATTAGTAAGGCATTCAGATGCCACCTATCTATAGCCATGCTCTTTCTAAAGAGAGTTGGAGATGGTGGTCAGTGGTGAAGCATTTGCCTAGCACACACAGGCTTGGATTTGATCCACACCACCACAAAAAGATGACAATAACTATGATGGAGGTGGTGACAAATACACTTTCTCTCCATGGAATAAAAACTGATGCAATTCCTACAGAACTTTTCCTTCCAATATTTTTACTACGTAATATACCAGCGCCCTCTATTTGTGGATAAAGGAAGTTTAAAACACTATCAACTCTTTGAAAGTTACAACTCTAATATGCCTCAACACATTTTTCAGTCAAAATACATACGGTTATGGTATGATTTCACTTAATGAAATTAATGTGCCTGACAGCAAACCCTTCTCTTGCAACTTCTCCTTTAAAATTTGGGCACAGCTTATACTTTTAAATGATGGCAAAGTGAGATGATTTTAGTCTTTAAAGTGACAGGGATTTCAGTCAGAATCTGGTCTCTACAGCACATTTGTGTTGAATACTTGCTAACACTTAACACAGAGTTAGTTTTCTTAACTGCAGTAATAATGACAGTATCTGCCACACAGAACTATTACGATTACATAAGCACATCACATTTTATTTACATCTCCCTTTTACCTCAGTCTGAACTTAGCATCTTCATTTTCCCACACAAATTATGTGAGCCACATCAAGCCATGACCACTTATACTCTGTGGTTTGTACACCCTGTGGTTCTTACTCAGTGTCTGCAGCACAGTCACCCAGCCAGGTACTATTCCTTTATAATCTTCAGTTGTTGCACAAATAATGTCTCAATCTACATAAAAGCCTCCAAAATCTAAAATAAACTACCCATCCTTATGCATTACAACTACATGGCTTCCTACTTTTCTGTTCTCACCACTTGAATTCCATCACTTCAAAGCAACATAATCATAAAGAAAACTATTTTAGTAAGAAAATGATGTTTATAAATCCTGGGAATAACAGATATTTACTATAAAAATTTCAATCTTTTATCAAGCACCCACAGAACTGGTAGGTAATGAGCATATGGCTCATCATCCAAAAAGAGTAGTACAAATTTCCAAGAAGAGGGTCAGTCTGTTCAATCCAAGGAGAAAGCTGGATTTAACTTCTATTGCTAACTTCCTCACATTATTTACTATAGTGACTTTATGTTTTATGCTGAATTCTATTTACATATTGATATATATATATATATATAGCCATTATGTGTAAATGTATAAACACATTTAAATAGTCCTTAATATTTAAATAATCTTCTGCATCAAATGGAATAGACATCTGCTTTAAAATTTTAAACATACACACAAATGTTTTAAACACAAAAATATTTGAAGACTGACAATTATCTGCGTAATTTTTATTGATATTTACTTTACTAGACACCAGACTCTACTATTTAAAACTGAACATTAAAACATCACTTAAAGAATATTTAGGATACAGTAAAATCCCAAAATTATTTAACTATATCTCCTCACAGGATATGACACCAGTGTTTCCCGAGACTAAACGGCCATGCATAGTTGTAACTCAAACACATAACACCTTACAAAGGCACCACTTTTTCTTTTATAATATATTTTCTCCTCTATCATGTCAGAGAGAAGAAAGTTTTCAACATCTAACACTCCTTGATTTTCTTTTTCCTTACCCAACACAGGTTATTTTGTAAAGCCCGAGAAAAGTCAAGAACTTGCTATGTAGCTCAGGCAGTGACTTCAAACTTATAACCCTCCTGTATCAGCCTGCTAGGATTACAGGTCAGAGAACTGTACTAGGCTCTCTGATTTCAACACGAAAGGTGTCTCTGGGCTCAGGTTAATCTGTAAATAAGAGCTGAAAGTGAAGCCATCAAGAAGCTAAGTGTTACCAGGGAGCAGTGATCAACAGAAATTCAAACTTAGCCTTAAATCCCTTAAATCCCACAACTCAGGAGGCAGAAACAGGAGGATCTCTATGAGTTCCATGCCAGCCTGGTCTACATAGTGAGTTCCAGGACAGTGAGGCTAGTGCCTCAAAATAAAATAAAAATCACACTCAGAAAGTATGACCTGACATTTCTAGATAGCTGAAAATGGTGCATAAATGATAGATCTTATTATGAATTTTGCCTAAAAAACATACACGATGGAAAGAATGACAAAAAGGAGGGAAAGACATCTGACTACGTAATATAGTACTTACGCATCATACCTCTGCAATGGTGTCACTTTGTTCTTATTCTTATCAACTGAACCCGTAGATAGCTGAAGAAAATTGGGATTTAATTTATATAATTCCTGGAGTAGCTTCTGTTCATACTCTTGGTGTTTACCCGCCTAATGAAAGAAGAAATTAAAACTGCAGTGGGATTAAAAAAAAAAAAAAAATTCTGGTATGAAATGCTTGGTTACCTTCTGAATTATTAAGTACCGTAAACAGAGCATTTGAGTTTTTTCACAGAGTTAAAAAACCTAAGGATGATCCTACCAAACTTTTAGACCAACAAGTTATTCCAACAAAGTGACACTACAGATACTCCACAGACCAACACATTCCATCAGCACCATATGTAGAGAGCAATTTCACTACATCAACGCACCAGAAGGAGGCCACTGAAATAGCTCAGCGGGTAAAGGTGCTTGTTGGCAGACCTATCAACCTGAGTTTGAGCCCTGGAAAACACACATGGTCAGAGAGAACCAACCCCACACAAGCTGTCCTCTGACCTCCACATACGTGCTATGCTACATGTTCATGTGCACGCACACAGACAAAAAAATGAATAAATAAGTATAATACAAAAATCTAAACTACTTCCAGTTTCTTTCATACAACTAAGTCCTCTAATAGATCTCTACTGAGTTTTCTGATGCCTCAGTTAGCTTTAGTTGTCAACTTGACACACCTATAAGCACCAAAGAAAGGAATGCCAACTGGCCTATGGGCAATGTTAACTGGTGTCGGAGAGCCTGTCCCAGCCCCCTGTAGACAGTACTACTCCTGGACTATGAAAGAAAACTAGCTATGTATAAGCATATCAGCAGGAAAGAAAGCAGCATTCCTCCAGTTCTTGTCTGACTTCCCTCAAAGATGAACTAATACATGGAATCTGAAATAAAACCCTTTCGTCCCATAAACTGCTTTTGGTTGTGGGGTCTGTCACACCTACTGAAAGGAAACTAGAACATCTGATGATGAGACAAAATTTATCAATAGATCTCTGGTTTTATTTAATGATCAACAGCATAATGAATCCACAGTTTTCTTACATTTTTCTTTGTCTTGACACCAGGTTAAAATGCCATTAATTTGTTTTTATTCTCTACTTTCTCCCTACCAATAACAAAATAAAAATTAATGTATTAAACTCTAAGCCAGAGGTAAGCCATTTACAGCCAGTCTCTTGTTTTATAAACAGTGCTTCCCTGGGACACAGTCTGTTCCTCATTCTTGCACTCTCTACATGCTTTCTTGCTACAAAGTTGGACTGAAGTGTGGGGAGAGGGACAGTGCAGTGCAGTGACAGATGCTGCACAGCCTAGAAACCCTAAAATACTTTATAAGGCTGGTCTTTACAAAAAAATTGCTGGCACCCATTGTACATACAAGAAAAGGCTCTTTATTGTAGTTGGGACAGCTTTCTATCAGAAGGCAAAGCCACAAATGTACAGGACAAATTACGCAAAGATTCACTGTAGAAGCAAACTGTAAACAAAAATAAATGGCAATTAAAAAAAAAAAAACTTCTGAGTGGCTGTTTACCATCTGAATGTGTCTTGACTAAAAAGACACTTCATTCACTATGGGAATATCAATTATTTAAGGACTTTGACTTATGTACCTGTAGTAAAATGAAAATACAGCAGAATAAGATCCAATAAGAAGGGAAGGTAGGATCATCTAACTGAGCACAAACAATTGCATCATTTACAGCACATACTACATTGGTCATTCCATTTTGAGTGTATAGTAAAGGAATGATAGTTTTTGGGTTTAGCAACAGTACAACTTACTCAAATTAGCTTTCCATACTGAGAAATATATCAGCAAAGAAACTATCAAAATAATTCTTAAACTTAGTTAAAAAGAATATATTATAAATCAGTTTTAAGATATTTCAGATGTGAATTTTTCATCTTTAAAACATCTACAGACTTAGCCTCAGATGTAAGTGATTTTGGTGCAGTTCATAGAGGCAGTTAAAACCCCATCACATGCATTTTTCTCCTATAGTTCAATAACAGACTTACATGAGATCAACTTGGATTTGGAAATCCTTAGACAAATCTTCACTGTAATAGCGTCAAGTATGTAAAATCCAGTTTGAAATGCTATCTAGATTTCATCCAAGGTTAACACACGTGTGTGTGTGTGTGTGTGTGTGTGTGTGTGTGTGTGTGTGTGTAAACAAAATAGAACATGCATGGAAAAGGCAGCAAGATGGTTGGGACTTCTTAGTCAGCCAGTCTCAGATAACCAAACAGACCCTATCTCAAAACTTACGGTGGAGGTACTCTATGTGTTCCTCTGGTTTCCACACACACATGCAAAGGCAAGGGGACCTGTACACACTCATATATGCCCTACATACACGCTCACATATTCAGAAAACAGTTTCATTTAAAAAAAATCACTCATAAACATGCAAAACTTTTAAAGTACTAACTGAAAAAGATGTATTTTGTCTAACGTGTTGAATAACATTATTTTTAACACTGTTTTTTGAATTTCAAAGACAATACTGCCAAGAATCACCAAGTCGTTTATTATAATGGGACTTAATCTACATTAACTCCAAGTCAAAAGAGACAAAACTTCATGCTGTTTTTCAATCTGCCTTTAAAGGAGCTTATATTTTTTCTAGTTTGACCTGGAATAAAAAGTAGCAATGAATGCCCCCCACCTTCTAAATGAGAAGTATTTCTGCAAAAGTCCAGCAAAAGATTCAGCAACAATCTGAAGTCCTCATCTATAAAAGGGAACTGCAGCATTGTGCTTTGGTATAATCCTCATTTTAATATGCCGTATGGTCAACATTTTTACTTGTAAAGCATGTTTATACTACAAATTGAAAGGAGACAGGAGAAGAGGAAATGTAAAAAAGAAGACAGGATATTAAGCCTTCAAGTCACCTTTTACAGGGCAATGACTACTCTGTGTACACTTTCCAAGGAGAGTCACTGCTTGAAAATGCTATCAACATCATTGGACAGATTATTATTTTCTAGAATGCTCTCTAAAGAGTAGAGGTTGAACCAAACCAAACAAAAGAAACAACAAAACCCCAAATAGGGCCGGGCATGGTGTCGGCTTTAATCCCAGCACTCAGGAAGCACAAGCAGGCAGATCTCTGTGAGTTTGAGGCCAGCCTGGACTACAGAATGAGTCCAAGACAGCCAGAGTTACACAGAGAAACCCTGTCTTGAAAAACCAAAAACCAACTAACCAAACAAAAACCCCAAGTATTAGATTACTTTAACTCCTTGGCCTTCACACTGTTGACATTCTCCTTAAAGCAGACTCCCTGAAGTATTCCCTGTGGTCAGCTAAATTTCCTTTTGAATAGATGCTAGCACAGTAAAGCCTCTGGAAGGTTTTGCAACAAATGAATTTGCTGCTTTACTGAAGTACTTTTCTAACTTAGCTAACCGAAACTCATCTTACTGTAACCATCTTATGAGATACTTTGAAAAAAATGCTATTTTAAAGTAATATTGGTTTTTCAAAAACTCAAATCTTTGTCTTTACAATTTTAACTTTAAAAGTAATTTCTTTTTGTACTAAATTGGTAATTCACATGAGTTTACTACCTGCATTTCCTCTTTTGTGAAGCTGGCTGCCTCATCTCCCAATTCATGTAGATACATGCAGTCGGGCTTTGGACACTGCATATTCTTTAAGAAGTAACTGCAGTATTTCGTTGTACCTAAAGATGCCTGTAGGAAGAAGAGGGGAGCAGGGGAAAGAAGATTCAAAATATGAACTGATACCACAATGTGAATTTATATGATTACTGGTTTTGTTTTACATAAAATGAGATATAGACAGAACAAAGCATGACTGAGAACACTAGGAAGTTGACCTACTACTGGTGGAGTTACTGTAAACATTTATTTAGAAGATTTAGAGAAAACAGATATGGTTTCCAGAATTTACAAATTCAAATTTTCTCTAGGCATCAGTAGAAGAAAAAAAAACCTGTTCTGTCTTTAAGCAGTTCCGTATTTAAGTAGTTCAGTACAGAAGAAAGAAAATTCCTTTTTCTACTAACCACACCATCCTTCTTCCCTTCACACTAGTTGGGACTATTTACCAAATGTAAACCAATGACAACAAATCAAAATTGTTATCTGTTTAATGACAACAAATCAAAACTATTAACCAGTTCTATTTATAGAAGACCAGTTCTATTTTCATAAAGTAAAAAAACAAAAACATGAAAGTTACATTTTTAAAAGATTATCCTCTAAATAATATATATTCTTACCCAGTAAATAAAATAGGGCCCTTCTAAGTTAGTACTAAATACCTTGCATATCAGAAGTTAGTATGGAAACCTAAAAGACAATCTTTAAATTTAATGCCTTCAAAGTCATCCTTTAAATGCCAGACACTCCTCTGCTTTCTAATCTTACCCCTTCCTCTTAAAAGAAATCAAAAACAAACAAACAAAAAAATCAAAGAGAAACATATTACCTTAAGTGTCCTGCCATCTACCACCACATTGTTGACACACTGTATTGCTCTGAGAGCATCTTCTGACCGAATATAGGTTACATAAGCACTGGCACTCGGACCCTAAAGCGAAGCACATCCCATTCCACTGTTATTAGTTTCAAATTAATACTGAAAAAGAAAATTCTTTTACAACCTACCTATGAAATCCTATAGCTGTTTTGTTATTAGTAGTGTCGTTAATAATAATAATGGCAATAATTAAATGTAGTGGGTTTTTTTATAATAATACTATTCCTTTTACTAGCTCACCTGAAAGTTACCTAGCTATAAGTGGATTATAACACAGATAAATAAAATAGTATCTTTCCTTGTCTTTTTTCCCTCTCTCCCTATTTTTTAAAGTAACTCGACAGGCTTGTCAAGTCTAAAAGTGAAATTTTAAGATGCCAGATTTAAAGACACTGTATCAAAATAAATATTCTAAAAAATTAACACAATCTGTATTAGTTATTAACTAATGCCAGTATGACAAGTTGCTCTATTAAGATTTTAATACCTAAAATTACTAATTATAAATCATTATCTAATTATCAGGTTGCCTGGTAACAGATAAGTCCTCGCCACCACCCTTTAACCCACCAGTTAATTTTGTTCTCTATCTTCCTCTTATTCCATCAAGCATTTCACTCTTAAGTCCTGAGGAATCAAATAAACATAAAAACTCCCAAGCCCACCAATAACAGCAGTTACTACACTGTTTAACTACTTTGACCCTCAAACTCTCTGACTGCAGAAAGCAAATTTTCCTTCTGATAGCCCAGGTCAAGCCCAGACCTGGAGGAAAGGCAAAGATCCCTATAATGAGTTACCTGTGAGCCTGCATATGATGTGCTATTATTGATGACAACTTTATGTATTTTACCAAACTTCCCAAAATATTCTGGCCGTTTTAAAACCTATAAAAGAAGAAGAAATAAGGCATAAACTGTCCCCACTTTAATCATCTTTATCCTTATAATGGGAACATTACATACCATCCCTTGTAAATGAAAAGCATAATGGTAACTTTTTAAGTTTCTAATTAATGTAACTACCTCCAAAGTGCATTTATGTATATGTAGTTGATTCACAGAGTATTTTAAAGAGCCTGAAAGCTGTCCTTTTTCAAACACTAAATAGGACCTGAAACTTAAGAAATTTTGCATTATTATGTTCTAATATTTGCATCAATAATCTGTGGGATATTAACCTTCACAGAATTCAATAGTATTCTCACTAATAGATTATTTTTATGAGGTAATGATCAAAATAATGATCAAAATTATACTCAAGAACAGAGAAACGAAGAACAGGCATAAACAATGACATTTATGTTCCATAAATCTATTGTATATTATACAAAGGCACTGTTTATAAATTCAAACATGTACCCTTCAACCTTCTATGCTTTATGATTTATCACTGAAATTTCCTGTGTCAGTAGATTTCATTATTTTGTAACTGTTTCATAGGTTGTTCTTTCCCTACAATCTTTGCTAAGTTACATTTGGAAAATGAACTTATATTTCTTCCTCTACTATCTTGGTTACTTTTTAGTGTTTACTTGTCCTTGTATTTCTCTCACCTCTGTTATTTTATGATTACTACAGTAGTCTTGTAGAATTCCTTACAAATTTGGATAATCTTGGCTAATGTGATCAGAATATTATATGATACAAAATCTCTCCCATGACTTATAATTATCTCAACTTAAATTTTGTTCTTTTCATAGAACTTTACAGACAACAACCTCTTTCTCAATGGACAGTCTGTTGTGCCAGTAAGTCTTAACAGTATTCAGCTTAATATACACTAATCTCACAATATTTTGGATGTTTGTAAATACAAGGTTATATACAGCCAATTTCAATGGATTAAAAGGTGACTACACTGGTTTCCACTTTTTCACCCTATCTAGACCCATTGACAGATAGACCAATAGCAGCTAATGAAATGACACCTTGTTCTAGACTGTTTCAGGGCTAAGGGATAGAGAAGAAAATAGTTTGAAGAGGGTTTTCTGGCCAGAAGAATTTGAAACTGAATTCACTGTTCCAGCTGGAAAAATGCCAATTCAGCTAACAGCCTCACAGCTAAAATACATGCTTCCCAAGGCTGGCAGCACACAGCTGCTCTGCATCAGCAGCTCTTATGGGTGAGCTTATAGCAGCAGTTCTCACTGAAGGAAGCACTGAAGGGGCCATGTTAGAGATCTGTGATGTTTTAATTATGGGGAGACTTTAAAGTTGAGAGAAACACTCCTAGCATTCAGAGGATAAAAGCTAGGGATTCTTCATGGCTCAAACTAGCCCTACCTAACTGTGGTTCCTATACAACTTCTGAATATCCTATAAGACATGCATGGATCCCTGTTTATAGTTCAGGGAAGCTAGACACTCCACGTTATACATAAAGTATTTTCTCAGTTTTGACATAAGTTTAATTTATAGATAATATGTAATTAAGAAAAGACTACACATACTTTGAAGTTTTACTAGTTGTTTTACAAAATCACATTAATTCATGGTACTTAGTTTGCCAAAACATACACCTGTAACAGTGTGCTACCACATTTAGTGATTCTACAAATTAGATGGAAGGTTATTTTGCAGTGTAAAAACACTACTCTAAGAAATTTAATATTAACACAAATCATTTGAGAGACAAGTTAAAAAAAGAAACCCAGATCCAATAGGTCTAAGGCAGAGCCAAAGAACTGACATAGTAAACTCCAAAGTGATACTAAATGCTTCTGGCTTACAAAGCCACAGATCACCGGTAGGTTTGAGAGTACCTACACCAAAGCACTTATATGTAGAAATGGTCTTTTCATTATTGTTTTCCTTCATATATTTGTTTTGAAATATATAGGGAGAGAATATACCATTAAGATTTTTAATTGTCTTAGTGATTATTTAAAACATGAACTGTTCCAGTTAGTAAGCCTTTTTAAAGGAAAATGGAATGTCTTTCTGGGATTTTGTTCATACTTTTTGTTTTTTATTTAAGAGTCCTATTCATATGTATACTTTTTGACTTGTCTCAAAGATTTCTTCATCCTTGTCTTTTGACGGTGTTATATGCTTATGGATGTTTTTTGTGTCTTCTGTGAAACATGTTGTCTCATGGAAACTGGAAACTGAAATACAGGCATCCCACCTGGTACAAGAGTATTTAGGGCACAGGGGGAAATCAAGAGTTCAGACTAACCCAAGGAAACCTGTGTCATTTTCAATAAGACAGAAAAACAGTGATATATGTGGTCAGGGAGGTAATCTGTCATGAAGTCATGTAGTGTACACAGGCCCTTATGAGGGATTTGAGTTTTACTCTGATTTAAGAGAGAAATGTAGAAGAATGTAAGAAATGAAGGATACAATCTGTTTGGCTATGGGAAGAGTCCTGGCTTACAGGAGTAAAGGCAGGAACAAATTCAGGGACCATTATTTAGGAAGCAGGAGAGCCTGTGTCCAATGCTGTTAATGGGTCGAGTGCAATGAAGACATTAAGAAAGAGATGAGTAGTATTTCACTCAAGAGCCATGTTTTCTAGTTGAACACTGGAAATAATTTGGGGGCTTTGGTATGTTATCAATATAAGTCTTTCTGAAAAATATTCTGATTCAAATACTCTATAACATATGAGAATGCATAGGAAAATAAAAATGAATGTGATCTTACAAAACAAAAACAAAAATGGAAGATATGCTATATAATATTAGCTTTTTTTTTTTCTCTTAAGTGGGCAATGAACCACCTTTAGAGTTGAAGACCACTGGTTTTAGAAACAGTTTCTGGCAAACATTTGTGTATAACACCTTCATGGCAAAGAAGACAGGTATAAAATTACATTGACATGCCCATATAATAGCCAGAATGGTAATTCCAGAGCACAAATACAGCATGTCATTCTATTCTTGAAAACATGCAACAGCTTTCCACTGCCTTCAGGGTAAAATGCCTCCTCGGCAGTGTTGGCAAACCTTTAATAATTAAGTGAATCTCAACTTACCCCAACCACATTTCTCATCACTGAGATCTAACCTTCCAAAGATTACATAAAGAATAATTCTCATTCAACAACACTTGGGATACTCCCTGTGTGGGAAGCACTTTACCCCAAAGATAAAAAAGACCAGTATAGCTTTCCTGCAATGCTCTGCTACTATCCCCATTTGCCACTGAAGCACGCAGTGCTCCTCATACAGGACTGTTGCCTCTGCAAATAAACAGGTGCTGTTTTGTATATTGTGTAGGCTCAGTGTCTTATACAGTGCCTTGCATGGTGTAGTACTCAATAGATTTTAAATAAAAAACTGAACTGTGTTAGTATTAATTGAAAAGAATTACATAAAAATCTAGGTGTGGTAGCTAATAACACAGACGGTTGAATCAGGAGGATTTTTAACAGTTCACGGCCAGTATGGGAAATAAACTCTGTCTCAGAAGAAAAACAAACAAACAAACAAACAAACAAACAAAAAAACACACACACACAAAAAAAAAAACAACCAAAAAAACTCATGAATGTGTATGTCAATAACACTGGTAGGCCTCTTAAGTACCAGCAAATGACCAGTGGTTGATATGAAATAGGCTGTTATGGCAAAGGAAAGGCAAAAAATTTTAACATTCCATATTAACACGAACACTAGATTTTGCTTAAACAACTGATAAAACAGAGGCAGAATTATTCTTTGGGAACACAGTTAAGTATTCATGGACACTAAGAAAAACAAAAATGTGGCAACCAGATGCTGCATGAGTGAATGATGGATGGATTAATAAAGCAATCATCAGTACAGAATACCCCAGAATAAGAGAAGATCTATCACAACAAACAAGCCACTCACCTTGCCTTTGCCTCAATTTCCACTTTATAAAATGGTTGTACAGCCTCTTAATTCCTCAAATAAATGCTCTCCAGAGCTACCACATATCTGGGATGCTATTTGACCTTATTTGCTGCCTAGCTAATACTATTAATTCTCAAAACTAATCTTAATTATCCCTTTCTTGGGGAGTTGTTTGTTTTCGATACATGTTCTACCTGCATATGTGTATGCTCACCATGTGCATGCAGTACCCTCAGAGGCCAGAAGAGGATGTTGGATCCCTGCAATTGGAGTTAAAGATGACTGTGAACCACCATGTAGGTGCTAGGAACATACTGGGGTCCTCTGAAAGAGCAGTAAGTGCTCTTAATTGCTGAATCATCTCTCTAGCCTCCTGTGTCTCTTTTCAAAGTGCTCAGGAATGTGTGAACACTTCAACTCTGTCTTTTCCATTAGCCTGTAAACTTCATCTTCAGTATCAAACATTGTATGTAGTCACAAAATTCAAATTTTAATAAGAATGAATATCTTCACAACCTGAAATTTTAGGACTTTTAAGATATAGATAATTACCTCTTAATTGGTATCAAATTATCATAGCTTCTAAAAAATTGTTTCTATTGACTAATAAAAGAATACACTTGATAATCAATCCACTTCTAGATGGAACTCCGAATTGCTAGATAAGCAAACAAAAGGTGAATTTACACCAAAGGTTCTCAATTCAAGATCAAAGTCCCAGTAAGTTACTGAAGCAGAAATTTCAGAAAGGCAAAGTACACAGTAAGAATAGGAAAAAGCAAAAAAGGACAGAAATGAGCCAGAGAGTTGGCTCAGCGGGTGAAAGCTCTTGCTATGCACATCCGGTAACCCAAGTTCTATCCCTGGAACCCACACAAAGGTAAAAGAAGAGAAGCAGCTCAACTAAGCTATCCTCTAACCTCCACATCATTAATGTGTGCTCCCTCAATAACATGCAAATGGTACGTACATACACATACACACAAACTCACACACCACGGATAATAAAGGTTTTTTTAGAGGCAAAGTTAAAAGAGATGAATTAGTGCAAAGTTTTAGTCATGTTCAAGCGAAGTGGTCACAGGAGAGGTGTAATTCTGTCTGCCTGAAGAAAGGAGAAAAAAGTAAGCTGACACGAGGTGCAGCGGGACACACCTGTAATCCCCGCACGTGGGGAGTCAGAGGCTAGTGGATCTCTGTGAATTCAAGGCCAGTCTGGTCTATAAAGCAAGCCAGGACAGCAAGGCTACACAAAGAAACCCTGTCTCAAACAACAACAACAACAACAACAACAACAAAAAACAAAACAACAAAAAAAACAACAACAAAAAAAGTAAGCTTAGAAACAAAATAGAAGAAGCGACTGCTGAAGTGATGTTGTGTGTCCAAAGTGAACTCTTTCCTTAATATTCCTTATTAAAATTCTTTTCTGCTTGAAACTTTTTATTTTTGGTTCTTGTGATAAGATCTTTCTCTTTAGCTCAGGGGGGCCTGGCACTCATTAAGTAGCCAGGTTGGGCTCAAAAATCAAGCCTTTTGGCTTCAATATCCTGAATGTTCAGATTACAGGTATGAATTCCTGACCAACCCCTGAGAAAGGAGGTCTCCTGCAAACACTACTGTCGAGCTCCCTGGACATAGATTCCTAGTAATTCTTTGTGTGCGGTGGCAGTAGAGGGCGGGACAGAGACATGAACATGTAGCATGGCACATATACAGAGGTCAGAGGACAGCTTTGCAGAGTTGATGCTCTCCTTCTACCATTATATGGGATCCAAGGATTGAACTCAGGTCACAAGGTAACCTTACTCCCTAAGTCATCAGGCTGGCCCAGACCTGAGTAATTCTTGAGTTGCATTCATTTTTAATGCTCATGATAGGTTCTTCCAAGTAACAGCTCCCTGAGAGTCTCCTCTATTGATTCAGAGGAACTGTAAAGCCTTAATATAAACCCATCAATCAGTAAATATATATTTTCTAGTCTTTACAGAAAGAGACAGTAGGTTCAGCTATGGTTAGATTACAGTTATCCCCACAAAAGGATCATATACTAAAGGCTTGGGCTGTAGCCTAATCAATCTGGTGATGGATTAATAACTGAAGTACTGGATCACTGGGAGGCGGTAGAAACTATGGAAAGCAGGGCCCATGTGGATGAAGTGGGTCACTAAGGTGTGCCTTTCAAAGGTTGTCACGCTTTCAGTCTTTCATTTTGTCTGTCTTTCTGCCTTTTGGCTGCATGACATGAGTAGCCTCTTCTGCCAGCAGGGTGATCTGTCTAATCTTAGGCCTACAGCAATGGAGCAAGCTAACAACAGCCTGAACTTTGGACGGAAGCTATGAACCAAAATAACTCTTGTTTTTAAGTGTACCCCCAGCTCCCAGGCAGGTTTTTGCCACAGTGAAAAGCTGCTGGAAAAAGCTACTGCAGAGCTAATCTCTAGCATCATGAGGAATCGTACCTCAAACTATTTTCAACTACTTATTTTGGAAAACTCCCCAAACTCAGCTCTCCTCTACTGAAGCAAACATTCTAGCTGATACTAGTTTCAACTGTCCTTCCCAACAAGCTCACAAGCAGTTCATAATATAGTGGAAATTAAAAATTAGCAAATGCATACGCAAAGCCCACAAGAAAGTTTGAGCTCAGAGCAGCTTTGATAAGATTAACTGAAGGAGAAAAGAGAAAGGTTAAGAGATATCAATTAGTAAATTGAACCACAAAAACCTTGGTCTTTTATTTCACTTAGTCAAATTTTCCTTCTTTCCCAAAAGCTGACTAAGAATGACAAAGTAAAGAAAAATGATACAGTACAGCAGTTCTAAAGAACAAGAGTTAACACTTGGGGAACATCAAGATGGCTCAGAGATGACTCAACTGGTAAAGGCACTCACTACTGGGCCTGATGACCTGGGTTCTACTGGCAGAAGCCACACAGTGAAAGGCAAGAACTGAATCCTGCAAATTCCTCTGACCTCCACACATGCATGGTAGCAGTCGCACTACTACTTGGGCAGCTCGTTAAGACTACTTAGTAGGTTCAAGTAACTGTGTCTCCAATTAGGTCCACACAACTATGGGAAAGAGGAAAAAACAAAACAAAAAAACTATTCACAACTCATGTTAGCCTTAAGAGTGACAGGATCACTATCCATTTTCATAAGCTATCATCAATAAAAGGGATGCCCTTAGCTTCATAACTGAAGAAACTGAAGCCCAGAAAGATTAAGGGATACCTAGGATCACAACTGCCACTGTTTCTTTTGTTTTGTTTTATGAGACACGGTTTCTCTGTGTAGTCCTGGTTGTCCTAGAACTCACTCTATAGTTTGAGACCTCCAACTCAGAGATTTGCCTGCCTCTGCCTCTGCCTTTCCGAGAGCTGGGAGTAAAGGTGTGCACCACCATGCCCAACTAGCCATTGCTTCTTGAATATACTAAAAATTATTATTACTACTCATACTTTCTCCCAAGATTTATTACTTTCACAGGAATCTTATAGTTCATCAGGATCGACTATTATATTTAAATAAGACAGGCAAACACACAGACTGTCCCACAACAATAAAAGAAGAAGAGGACTTACTTCTGGATCGGCTAGACGCTGTGACAGACCTACAACAAAGACGAGGTTTTTTTGTACAACACGTACACTAGCCAAATGTTTTCGATTTTCTGAGATTTTCTGTTTTCTCTCATTTTGTTTCTGTTTTTTCTCATTCTTTATCCTTTGCAATTCTTCCTGGGAAAGTGGTTTATAAACTGCTGGGTCTTCTGGATATGGCTGTAAGTATAATAAACAAGATGAAGTCAGCATTAAAGCAACAGAAAAACTGCATAAATGATAAATATCTAATTCTGAATGGCAAGTATGTGACTGTTAGTTTCCCTTCTTCTAATTACTTTAACTGCTTTAAAATATACATGTATATTTTAATAATTTATTTAATTTTTATTTTATGTGCATTAGTGTGAAGATGTCAGATCCCTTGGAATTGGCCTTACAGACAGTTGAGAGCTGCCATGTGGGTGCTGGGAACTGAACCTGGATTCTTTGGAAGAGCAGACAGTGCTCTTAACCACTGAGCCATCTCTACAACCCCTAAAATATATTTTTAATATAAGTTACAAAGTTCTAAAACTTATTTTTTAAAGCTTAACAGAGATCACTTTAAGCATAAATGTCAAAACAACAAAATTAACCACTCAATCTTTGTATTCCTGTAACACCTTTCACATAGTTCTTAGATGATGCTTCTAAGTTGCTGTGTAAAAGGCAAAAAAAGTAATTCTTTTAACAAAATATGGATTTTTATATGTAATAATCAACAAACATTTAAGGAAGTTCTACCATGTGCTAACATACGAATTAAGTTGTGTGCTTACTTACTTATGTGCAGGTGTGTACATTTGCAGAGGCCTCTAACTCATTTTTTTGAGGCAGTTCCTCACTGAATCTGGAGTTCACCAATGGCTACGCTAGCAGGCCAGTGAGCTCGAAGATCCTTCCCTAGCCTTCATGTGCAGGTCAGAGAAACATTCCTGGCTTTTACATGATGCTCAGGACCAACTTAGGAGTGAACAGTAAGTACTTGGCCTAGTAAGCCCCGTCCTCAGCCCTTAGCCTTTTTGATTTTGTTTTGTTTTTAAATATACTCCTAGCCTAATAGAGGGAAAGATGGAACATAAATATTTAAACTCTGGCTCAAGAGTTCAATTTTAGTTCTAAAATTATCTGGCCATGGTGCCTTTAAGCAACTTACTCTGTAAGCCTCAGTATCCTCATGTACAGTACAAATATCCTAAAATTTGATGTAAAGATTAACTAATGCCCATAAAACAATTATCATTGTGCCCTCAAAACACAAGCAATCTCTGTTGTATGTTTTTGACTGATCCTTCTCAAGATTATATTTTTCTCCCTGCAGCTAATATCAGGGCCACTGGAGGACCTGTAGAATGTAGAGTCAAAGTGCCAGGTTTTGAATTTCAGACACCTGCTTTAAAACTGTAAGAACATTCTGCTCCAGCCTTCTCATCTGTAAAATGGAAATCACATTTAACCAGAGGGTTTCTATATAAGTAAAAAGAGAATTGATGTTTAAAATATGTCCCACACAAATAAGTACTAAAGAATCTGATAACACAATAAATGAAAGACAATTATATAAAACTGAGTATAAAGATCCCAGGGAAGACGTAATAATTAATTTTCATAATCAATCTGACTGGATTTAAAATTGTGTATCATGCTCTAGGCACATCTTTAAGGGTATTACCAGAGGACTGAGGAGGAAGACCTGTGAGCATCCCTGGCAAAGGACCATTAGGGCTCATGGCCTGGGGCAGCTTCCACCAACATGACTACAGATGTAGTTGTGCAGTTGGGCAGGCAGAAAATGTGACCTGACCTTACATTGAAGAGTCTGCCCAGAGACGAACAACCAATGGCAGGCTTGGAGATGTTGTGGAGGACCTGATTGGTTGCCCAAAGCTGTATCACCTGTGCTTTCTTCCGGAATAATTGAGTCTGCATCCACTAGCCCTCCGTTTGCCTTCACCCGACTCCCAGTGTCTGTGTGATGACTCCGCATCTCTTACCCCCTCGGCCTGGACCCCCTGCCCTCACCCACAAGCTGGATCCTGGGGAGGAAGCGAACAAAGACCCACCCTAACATAAGAGACACCATCCCATGGCCTAGGTTGTACAACTGAATAAGAGCAAGGTCAGCTGAGGGCCAGAATGTCCCTCTTTACTTCTTAACCCTGGTAAATCTCTCTCCTATCTAGTACTAGAAAACTAAAGTGAAATCACCCCACACATTAACACAGACCATGCTTTTCTAGTTCAATATTATTGTATTCAAACTCATTAGTTCTTTACCAATCTTCTTAATCATCAAGCACCAAGACTCCCTCCCTAGTCAGAGAGGTTATATGACTTTATAGATGTCATCACTCATACACATGGGAAAGAGTTATACAGTTAACACTGGACAGTAAAAAACCTATAAACAAAGTAAAGCTGGTTCAAGCACTTACCTTTCTACATGCAGGACAAAGTCCATTCTCATCAGTGCGAATTCGATGCCAACAAAATCGGCATATCTGGTAGCCACAGGTGCAAGGGAAAAAGTTAATATCGTCTATCTCCAAGGGCTCCATGCAAAGAGGGCATTCCACAGGGTCTTCCTTTGCATCGGGACTGCGAGACATCTTCACGTTTCTTTGACAGCAGCAAAAGTTTATAATAACTTAAGGGAAGGAAATTCAGCACTGAGAGCTAAAATGTAGAATTCTGAAGACCTGCATGAGAAGAAATTAAAAACAAACAATTTACAAGAAAAATACCAACTTTTGCTATAATCATAGGATAAGTTTCAGAAAATCTATGCAAATCAAAAAAGAAACTGGCACTAAGTTTCAGATGCAACAGAAATGTAAAAGAATTCCCGTTTTTTTGTTTGTTTGTTTTTTTTCCCAGCTAAGCCATTTAATACTGAGCCAAACACTGTTTATAACACATATTAAGAAAAATACAATAAAGAAGCACCTTCAATGTTACAGTAACTGAGAACAATTAGGCTCTGAAGGTAAAAGTACTGGCTGCATGAGCCCACTGACCTGCAAGTAATCACCAGTCTACAAGAGAGCCAACTTTACACACACACACACACACACACACACACACACACACACACACACAATGCATGCCAACATACTCAACATACTCTTCTCTTTCTACACATACACCATGATACTTTCATGCCAATATACTCATTCTTTTTCACAGTAAGTTTAAAACCGTGCATACTGAACTGCATATCTCACTTAAAAGTTAATTATACTTCTGCCTATCTAAAGGAACATAACATAACATAACATGATGATATGCCAAAATGTAATACTTTATAAAAGGGACCCAAAATGAGATTTAATCAATTATAGTTACATGTTAATATAAAATTCTTGCCAGGGAAAGTTATAAACTAAGCAAAATGACATACTGTTTACCACTATATGATACTATGCCAGTGAAAACTGCTGAGCAAATATATTTATAAAAAAAAAATTCCTATAATAAGTGTTACAAAAAGACTGTAAGAAGTCATACAGAAAACAAATAGACCTTTCTATCCCAATCATGCTTTGTGAACTGTAAATTCTTTTTAAGTTATGGAAAACTGAAAACCAGTTAACAATTTTATGCTAAAGGATAAGCTGAAATCATATTTGCAACAGAAAACTTAAAAGCTGTAACAAACCTACATCTTGATGCAATTCCCCATCACAGTGGTTTAAAAGCTACACAAACAATATAACAGAGTAATTGTAAAGATCACTCTGAAGAGAATATGAGAATAACTGGCATTTCCGAGGGGAAAATGTGATTAGCTCTATCAAAAACTCAACTGTTTTCTTTGAAACTGTAACTTCTTACTTTACAAAAGTAGAAAAATCATCAAAGAAACTTTAAAACTAAGAAATAGGCCCATGAATAAATAATAAAGTTTTGAATACAAAGTTAACAAACTATAACTAATATTAAAAAAATAAAAATTAAAAAAATGATAATAAAGTTTTAATTTTTAACAGAAATCACACTACAAATCAATAGATAGGAAGGAACATTTCATAAATAATAAAAAATACTGGTACTTATCTAACTTACACTATAATAAAATACTATACTAAAAATCGTGTGTGTGTGTGTATATATAAAAACCCATGTGCAATGATGACACAGGCCTTTAATCCCAACACTTGGGTCTTTGAGTTTGAAACCAGTCTGGTCTATACAGAGAATTCCAGGATCACCAGGGCAACAGAGAAACCATTTCTATAAATGAATGAATGAATGAATGAATGAATGAGTGAATAAGCAAATAAATAAATAAATAAATAAATAAATAAATAAATAAATAAATAAATAAATGAATAAATAAATAAATAAAGTAGCGCCCAAAGGTGACTGGAAACTTATCTGGTATAGTTAACTACTGAAAGGTTGGAAAAACAAATAGGTGGGTTTTTCTTCCTCCACTTAAGCTCTGTTCGCCCAAAATGAGAAGACATAAAAAGATACAGCTGATTTACGAACATAAAAAGAAAACAAAATTACAGGCAAGCAACCTTGGTTCAGTTTACAGCTCCCACATGGTGGTTTTTAAATATCTGTAACTCTAGTTCCAGAGGATACAACACCCTCTTCTGGCCTTTAAAGGCTCTAGGCACATATGAAATATTTAAAGATGGGTAGATAGATAGAGAGATAGCTAATGGATAAAGACCTGTTTTTTCTATTTTTCTAAGAAAGAAGCTCTTCTGCATAAATACTCCCATATGCCAAGCATTAAGTTATGTTTAGCAATCATTATATCAAAGAGCAAACTACTGCCAACATAGTATCCACAAACAAGGAAATCAATAAGAGTTAAGATAACAGCAATGAGAGGCTAGAGAGATGGCTCAGTGGTTAAGAACACTGGCTGCTCTGCCAGTGCTCTGCTGGGTTCAATTTCCAGCACCCACATGGCAACTCTTAACTGTCTATAACTCCAGTTCCAGGGGATCCGATACCTTCCACAGACAGACATACAGGCATAATTATCAATGTACATAAAATACAAATAAATAAATTACTTTTTAAAAAAGATACAGCAATAAAGCTCGAAATGCACAAGTAAAGCAGAGGCAGGAGGATACAAGAATGCTTCTAGTCTATTCTACATAGCAAGATTTAGGCCATCTAGAGGGCGACAGTGTAAAAACCTAGCTTTAAAAAGAGAAATAGGTGCACACCTGTAATCCTTGCTCTTGGGGACGCAGAGGCAGGCAGATCTCTGTTTGAGACCACCTTGGTCTACAAAGCGAGTCCAGGGCAGCCAAGGATACACAGAGAAACCCTGCCGGAAGGAAAAAAAAAAAGAAGAAAGAACAAGGTAGAGAACTGCTTTTTCTCTACACAAGTTCTGTACACATAAACTTAGTTTCAGTAAGAAAATAAGACAAGGATGTTGACACATCAAAAAATAAAAGCAGACATCTTTTGTTAGAAAAATCTCTTACTATCTGAATTGATTTTTTTTAATGTTATTTTTGAAATTTAAGTGGCATTTTCTTGAGAAAATATCTGACTTTGGTGATTAGATGGGAGAGGATGGAAACACACTTAAATAGTGTGTTTTCCACAGCTACAGTCTGGGGTGGCCAAGTTGAAATTAGCTATACACTCTTGTTTTACATAAAGAAAACTAACTGGAAGATTCAGAGCTACCGGTGAGGTGATGTTTTCCTGGAATGTCTTCCGGTGAGTCTATACATTTATTTCAAATGTGAAGTTTACAAAAAGAAAGAAATGCATGTGTGTTTATAAACAGTCCAACACTGTGAGTTTGTAGATCTGGATCAGCCACTTTCTCCTCCATATTAAAACTGGGGATGCATAAGAGACCCCTCCTGACTGCTCTTCCAGAGGTCGAATTCAATTCTCAGTAACCACATGATGACTCGCAACTCTCTATAATGAGATCTGGTGTCCTCTTCTGGTGTGCAGATGTACACGCAGACAACATTATTATGTATACATAATAAATAAATAAATAACTCTCTCTTAAAAAAAGAAACTAAACTGAAATTAAAGACTGCTCTCTTCTAGTATCTTTGGCTTTAAGATGTTTTCTTTTTCTTTCTTTCTTTTTTTTTTTTGTGTGTGTGGGGGATCTCTTTATGTAGTAGACCTGGAACTCACTCTGTAGACTAAGCTGTCCAAGAAGTCACAGATCTCTGCCTGTCTCTGCCCCCTGAGACCAGAGATTAAAGGCATGTGCAACCATACCCAGTTGTAAGGCTTTCTTAACTATACACTAGTACCTTTTTAGTAAAGTAATGTATTGACTGCTGAGAAGGAAACAAGATACTGGGGCTCAGGTATACAAAATCTTTCTAGAAAGTTTATTATAACAAAAAATGAACTGAATAATACTTTCAGGTTTTGCTTTTTGATTATTTTTAATTTTTAAAGGTTTATAAGACTGTATCTTCTTCACATTGAGAGAAGGAAGGGACAAGGCAGTAAGAGGTACCATAAGATACAAGTGACTTCATCTGAATACTTGTAGCATTAAGAAAGAAGGTCATCAAATCTTATCTAAGAATGGTAAAATATATGTGGGTAATTAAGAGCACTGGCTGCTCTTCCAGAGGTCCTGAGTTCAAGTCCCAAAACCACATGGTAGCTCACAACTATCTATAATATGATCTGGTGTCTTCTTCTGGTGTGCAGGTGTACATGCAGATAGAACAATGTATACATAATAAATAAAATATTTATAAAAAAGGAAAAGCTCATTTCTACCTCATCTCTTCCACTTAGTAGACATATGATCTTAGGTAACACAATCTAAAGTTCTAAGACTTGATTTACTTATGTCAAAGCTTCAAACAGAGGTCAGTGAAATAGCTCAGAAAGTAAAGGACTTGCCACCACCAAGCCTAAAGATCTGAATTTGACCCTTAGAAGCCATGTGGTAGAAGAGGTGAAACAACCTCAGTTCGTGGTACAAGCAACACACATGTACAGTAAAGAACAAATTCCAGAAAGTCAAAAATTAAAGAAGAGACAATGAGGAAAAAACCTGGTAAAAATACAAATAAACAGAATCACATACAAAGTTTCAACGTCTAACCTGATGAACTAAACAATAATATATAAAAAATGAAAACTACACTCTGGTCTACAAATTGAGTCCAGGGAAGCCAAGGCTACACAGAGAAACCCTGTCTCAGAAAAAAAATAAAATAACTAAAAACTAGCAAACAACAACATGTAGGTAGGAGACAAGTAAATAAGCAAATACACTCTTAAAAGCAGCTGTAAACACAGTAAAACTTAAAGAGCAACCACACAACCCTTTGTAATTATGAACTCCAGGCCCTTATAGCTACAGGTGCCCATTTGTATGAGAAGTCAGGTACAAACCACAGGATGGGGAGCTGTCAAGAAGGAAGGTGGAGAATGCAGGCCCAGATATATTGGCACACACCTACAAGCCTTCAAAAGGCCGACGCACAAGAACGGCCATGAGTTCCAGGCCAGCCAAGCTACATACTGAGATCAAACTATCCCAGGTTGGGGTAACAATAACTCTAGCCTGAACCTCCAAGTGTTTTGTTTGCTTTTCTAAATCATGTTTAGCAATGATTTCAATCTCTTTGTTCATCCAAATCTTTCACCAAGTCAGTCACTCAGTTTCTACCAACTCTTAAATTGTGATCACAGAGGGTGTGTTGCCAATCAAGCTTTT